TTGTATGTATGTATGTATGTATGTACTTGGCGCGACAGCTCGTGAACGGGCTCAGGCGTACTGGTGACGTCCCTGCCACGCGGCTATGCGTTAAGGGGGTTCGTGTGGTAAGCACGTAGACATCCTCACGCCGTATTCTGTCTTCTCAACCTGAGAAGTGAATTTTCTCATCGTCACACAGTTAAGTAATATACTGGGACATTGCAATGAAAATGCACACTATAATCTTGCCTCACCGGGAATCAAACACAGGGCCGCATAGTGCAAAGCGAGCACGGTGACCAACAGCAAGCCACGAGGCTAAGACCCGTTTTACTCCTCTAAATAATTGCCACGCAACACATGAACTCAAATGTTATTATTTCTTACCGGATTTCACAAATGATTTCACATGTTTTTAATTACGTCTGGAAAACGAAATTAAAACTCATCAGAGGGACGTATTCTCACAATAGGTTTGGAAATACTTGGGGGGGGGGGGAGCAAAAGCAACATTAGGTAAAACTAAGGACACCATCTTAAGTTATACATTTTAAAGAAGTCTAGGCGCTTAATGAAAAAAAGACGTATTCGTGTCGTTCATATCTCAATTTCTGGGTTTCGGAAAAATTAATTCATTTTTACTAAAAAGCAATACTGTACCTAGCTTCATACTAGTTTCCGATGCAAACGTCACAAAACTAATACCTTGTTTTTACTAATGAACTGAAGAATCTGGATAAGGCGAAAACTTGCTTTCGCAGGAAAAATCTCAGAACGGCCCATTTTTGAATACAAAGTACAGTGCATAAGCCAGAAATCAGCAAAACGCGGAAGTGGAGAGAAATTTTTAGTTCGACATTAAAAATTCTGGATAACACGGGGACAAAGATTGTTTTAAAATTAAACACTGACTTGTAAGAGTGGCGACATCGTACCAGGAGACATTCTTGAGTTGTGCTCGTCTATTCGTTTTCACAGCAACCCTCGCTCGAACATCGTATTACCCACGCTACTCGTGGGAGAGCCACTGTTCATTTGTAATAGCAATGGCCTGCCCAAGCCTGTATGAAGAAGGGAGAGTCGCTAAGAGCCATCCTTCCACAGTTCTTGTAATGCGATCGTAGTTCTACAGTAGGATTATTTTAATGTGGCCGCTGAAGATCGCGGGCTCAGAGTTGCCGAAATGGTTCATTCCTCAAACTTATCGGTTTAGGGGAGAGCGCGTCCCTTCTCAGCACGTGTTGGCAGCCCTTGTCCAATCGTGTAAACATTGACATTGACGTTTCCTATCCGCGAGGAGCGAGCTGGCAGTTGCGTTTTCTACTGCAGAGAGGCATTTTGTACGTGATTCGTAAAGTTCTATTTAAGTGATTATTGTTCTGTTTGTGATTATAGCAATGCGTCCGATTCAGAGCAAGTTGCGTAAGGAAGTCCGTCACAGTCAGTGGCGTCGAAGTCGTTGCAAAAGTATTAATGATGAGAGAAGTAAAAGAAAGTGTTGAAATGTCAAAGCAGTTCTTGGTTGCTGCTGAGGGTGTTATATTTGCAGAAAAAATAAAATGAATTCTATTGAATCGGGAGAATCGTGTTCATTTTCAATTCTGAATAAAGAGAGGAAGAGGAAGAAAGTGGAATATGCTCTCGACATTTTCAATGAGAGAGTGATTCGCTACACAATGATTTAATTTACCATATCAAGAAATCGTTATTTTTTTTACCGGAAACGCCGCAAACTATAGTAATGACAACGACAGTGATGCGAGTTATGATAGTGAGGAAACAGATATCAGTGCCAGAGGAAAAGACGTAGATGATGGAAGCAAACTCGCGTCATCAAGTGAATTGAGCGTTTCTCCTCTACTGAACCTAGACACTAAAGCAAATTAATTTCCAAGTTCGCTAGCACGTGCGGTGCGGTAGGCTAATGTTTTTGGTATGGGCAGACGCGAGCGAGCGCCGCCTCCTGGCCCCCCCCCTCTTATTTTCAGCTCCCCCCTCAACTCGCGAATCCCAGCGGCCACCCTAGGAAAATTTAGCTGTAAACGTTTACTGTTGTTCAGTTCGATGAGTTGCAGGTGTTGTGTTAGTCAAGTGTTTATGGTGGCAGGCTGCAAATTGAAAATATTAACTTTTGGTAAGAAAATTAGTCTAACTGAAGAACATGAACAAAGAAACACTTCTGACAAGGTTTTGATAAAGAAATTTAAAGTTGGGGAAAACTCAAGTGTATGATACCTTAAAAAACAAAGACAAAATCAAGAATGAGTGGCTAAAAAGAATTCGGCTGAGTAAAATATCTTCACACGAGAAAATTAACGTGATCATTTTGGAAGGGTTTGTAAGTGCCAGAGAAAAAGGGAGGCCAATTTCTGGGTCAATGATTCAAGCAAAAGCAATTGAAAACATCAGTTAAGTAAATTGTCTATACTATCATTAACATATATTGTTAGTTAATTTTGCAACAAAGTTTTTATCGACAGATAGTGTATAGATCATAAAAAGTTGATTCTGATCTTCAGAGCAATCACATCATAAAACGTTAACTCGGTTTATCAAAGCGACGTTTGGGGGAATTCATTTTTCGCCATCTTCAAGCTAGACATAGTAAAGGAGAAAATTAATCTAAATATGTTAAAAATAATATGAAAAGAAGTTACTCGGATATTAATCAAACAAAATTATTCTAATGGAAGTAGTTCTCTCTATAATCATAATACACAGAGACTCGCCAATTCAAACAAAAAAATCAGGATTGCCTGAATACGAGTGGGTGTGTACGGATCTTTCATTATTACAATATACACCAGTGAAGTGAAATTTTCGAAATAAAATAATTTTATTTGTGTAAAACGTGTCCAAACAATAGAACTTGTTTCAAAGTGCTGGAGTGCGAACACCGAATTTTCTCACCGATCTCTCCTACTTTCTTGTCCGTTCCTCATCCCTTACTTACACATTCACTTATATGCACTTCTCCAGCACACATGTCGGGAGATTCGTCGGTAACTTAGACCTTATCCCGGCTTGGACGGTGCCCCGCTGATGGGAAATACCTGGTTCGGGAAAAACCCACTAGCAGACGGTAGGTCGGCATTGGATCTCGCCATTCAGCGGGGGAAGATCACCGCCATCTCCCATGGGGAAAACATGCACCGCATCTACGGGACAATATCCTTAGCAGTTGACGCGCCCGGAATCACGATCAATCAATCAAACAGTGTATTGTAAACCCTACGTAATACTCTTATAATGACGCGAGGATGTGAGTATTTTCTATTTCAGGGCTCATCAACTTCTGAGGTCATTGTTCTCGTATGTGAAGTGCAGTTATATCCAGGGAGGAGGCAACTTGTCCCACGCTGGAAAGTGAGATCCTGCACCGACCTATATAATGATCAGTAGGGTTTCCCGCTGCGAGCATCTCCCTCGGAGGGGGATAAGTTCTAAGCTCCCAACTGGATCCCGACACGTGTGGTAGTCTAGGGCATTTGTATATGTATGTGAGTGAGGAGGTTACGTGGATGAGGAAAGAAAGATTACGCACGGTCCGAGACTCGTTTGTTAGATGCACGGTCCTACATTCTCCTGGTATTGAAAGGAGAAAACATGGAAAGCTGCCGATGGGAACAGCCGGCCACTGGAATTCCCAACCAAATCTATCTATTGAATTCGACCCAGCAATGCAGATTGAGTCGATAATTCCCCGACTCTTACTAGGAACTCGCGGTCAATGATATTGCTGAAGTAACGATGTTGCCTCTGAGCCATCGCAACCGGTTCTAAAATACATCGCCCTCGACATCATTCCTTTCACTTGACGCCGAAAGTAAGGGTCACAAAATTAATCATTAAAAACATATTTTAAAAAATATTCCCTTGATTTTTATTAATGAACATATAAAATAGTGTCAGAAATATAAATAGTAGATGTATTTTGAAGAGATTTTGAGATGAGAGTTTCAAGAGAATCAATGTGAATGGCATCTATTCATATAATATCACTCCCCGGAATATGAACACCGTAGTCTCATTTGGAGAAACAGTAAATGATTCACAAGCTTATTGCACTTTATGTGCAATGATTATGATAACACATTTCGTTTTTAGAGTCAGTCAAATTTTACCATTGTCAATTGCCGAGAATAGTTACTTACCTGTACCCTGTCCAGTAATTTTACTCAATGAAAATTTACTGGATCAAACAAGCTTGTTTCCTAATTCGTTTTTCTCCCATTTTCCCATCCCGTAAAGTCTCCGTTAATTTCTTTCCATGCATAACATCTGAAATACTTTTTAAAAGTATAGAACTTCTGTAACATAATTTTAATCAATGCATGCAGCTAGAGAATGCGCTACGTGGATGTTTTAACGTGCAATTCTTCAGTAAATTTCATCGACTCCTACGTTCAAAAATAGTATTAGTTTATTCTGCTCAGCTGAAAGCATTGTTTTGCCTAGAGTCGTTTCTTAAGTCATGATCATCCATGTGACAAGATGCGGGACAGGAAGTGTTCGTTTGGCGAAGCATTGGCATGGGCAGAGGGACAAAATTGTATTTGATGCGTGGAAGCATCATTCGTTTCAAGGTTCCTAACATATCCCACGGCCCTCACCTAGATTTCGAACAGCACTGAAAAATGTTTACATTTAACTTAATTCTTGACTCATTTGAGTCTTACTAGTTAGAAAAAGAGAAGTGGTTAGTAATGGTTCAATTGTGCAACAATGAATAAAAAAACGTACGAAGAGAACGAGTTCCTCGTTGACAGTCGATGTAAAACAACCGTCAATACGAGAAGAAAGTTTTTGAATTAAATTTTGAATTTCTTTTGCACCATTTTTAAACATATAACTGTAGAATTATGTGAAAGTGATAGTTTTTTAAAAAGTATTTACAAACTATTTTTTTTTCAATCTCGCCAACTTGCAAACATTGTTTTTTAGAAATTATTTTGTAAAAATTCCGAAGAGTCTAAATTGGAATAATGGTTCGACATTTTCATGCTTCGTGTACTTACTCGGAAGTCTTAGTTGAAATTCCTTGCCGTGCACCTTCAGAGGCTGCTCGCTTCTATCTGCGATGCTCCCGCTGAAGACCGACCGCCAGAGCCAACAGAAACGTGCTCACGGATTAACTAAATTAAGTCGGCCTCGCAATTGAACTAAGCTTCATTCAGTCCCTGAAAGGATCAATCTTCACAGTTCTCTCCATTTGCACTGTTCCGCTTTTCTTATACGACTTTCGGATAACTCCATCCTACATATTGTATATGTATATGTTTAATTCTTACTTTTCTGAAAAAATCTAAGGATGAGTATGAAAAATCTGCAATTAACGTTCTATAAAGTATGTTTTCCTTCTTTTAAATTACATTTTTATAAGTTGAGTAAAACGGAAATGAATATTTAGTGGTATAGAAAATGTCCCAATTTACAGAAAATAAACATAATGTACTATTTCCACCGTTTGTACTTGGCGCGTACTTGTGTGAAAGGGCTAGAGTGCGCTGATTGACAACTTGATTAAAATGGCGGAATAGTATTCAAAGGGTAAGCATTATTGGAAATTCACTTGCAAAAATGTGTAATGAAATATCATATAATTAATCGTTTCACATCCATTTATTTTCATTTCAACGCCAATAACAATAGATTTCAATAATTCATTGTTCTCCTGATTTTTCATAGATCATGACGTCACCATAATCCTGCTGTCCTATTCGCTGCTTTGTCGTCGCTGAGTTCTCTTGCTTATGGAAAGGCCAGAAATTTCCAGAACGTGAATCGTGAATCTAGTGGCTTCTCAGGGAAAGCTGAGACTGTTCTCAGTTATCAGATATTAATTGTGCGAATGCAATTGTTGGCCTGAAGCCCAACTCTCGTCTCCTTTCAGCGTGACTATTGTCTTGCAAGAAATGTAAGTGTATAACGGATTTTACTATCTCGTGGTCTTGTATTACAAGGTGTATTTTATTTTTCGTTTATTTTTTGGCATTCAAAGAGTTCAAGTCTTTGTGTTCCCAAACTCGTGGGTAACATCTGATTCTGTTGCTCTCCCATCGAGGTTATAGAAAGTCATCAGTTTTATCGTTTCTACTGAGAATTGTGTAATCGATAAAATAGTTCTGGAAATCGGATGTACACTGCAATTTTTAAATAAAATCAATTCGCAAGTACTACACACAGGGGTGATATTGATTGAATGATACAGTACAGTAGTATTTTGCAGTAAGAATCCTTTATACTGGTTATGCATGGCCGCGGTGTGATAGATTAGGTCAGGTCTTCGGCTTTCGGATACTTTGGTACAAAGTCTCATAAATCGATAACTCCAAATTTAAATTCAGATTTAAGATTAATTTATCGCAAATGTAACGTAATACGTACGTAGCTTTCACGAAATTTTAACATAAAAGTTCTAAGTTCTTAAATATTTTTTGTTCTTTTAGAATCTTCCAAAGCAGTGAAAAATGGTGAAAGAAACTACCTACTATGATATATTGGGAGTGAAGCCAGCTTGTTCAGCTGATGATTTGAAAAAGGCTTATAGAAAATTGGCTTTGAAGTACCATCCTGATAAGAACCCCAATGAAGGAGAAAGGGTAAGTGAGTTGGTACCATTTTTTTATTGTTGGGATGTATATTATTTTGGTGTAATTACTTAATGAATTGTGAGGAATCTCACTGAACGTTATGAACTTGTATGTTGCTCCCAATTTACATGTTTGAGAATGCCATTACATTTCTTGCTATAATTTAATTGGATTATTGCCTAATAATTCTGTGTTTGTAAGGTTACTTAATTCCCTGGTGTATCAACAATTCATATAAGGGTTGTCTTGTTCTTACTGCAATGCATGTACTATTTCTGACTAACCTTGACTAAAATAATGTCAGGGATAGGAGGTTACCGGGAGTTTGTTTAATGGAATTGGATATACCTCATTACTGCAATTTTATTATTATACCAGTATTTTGTATGAACATTTTAAGCTAAGAATATTCCAAATATAGATAATGTTAACTTAACTGCTAATGTTGACCCTCTTGCTGGTGAATGTTAATATGAATGGATCATATTTTTTAGTTTAGCCCTTAGCTAAACTTGTACTGAATTCGTCCATTAAATGGAACTATTGTAATATTTAAAAAAATTGTATGATTTTGACAAAGATAAGTTCTGGTAAAGACTGTGTCATGTTCGTGAGATGTGTACACTTCATAGTGTGTTATAAATTAGCATTACATTTCTTTCTCAAGTTTATTAAAATGGTTCTTAAAAGTGTGCTTCATCTTTCTTCTCAAGCATTGAAAGAATCAATTCGTTTAATAAAGTTCAGTTCAATATCTTTCAAAGACTGCAAAAATAAGTTTTCTAAATTTTTGAGATACTGGGCTTGCGCCAGGTAATTCAGGTTCATTTTCTGACTGGGAGGAAGTCAATTCTTTGAACAGTTTAAACCTGATTTGAAAAGTTGCACAATTGCAATATATGGAATACACAGAAATGGGTTTCATGTAGGAAGGCAAAAGTATGCCATGACTTGTTTAAGTGCTGAGACAACGGTCATTATTCGTCTGTATAACAGTCCACAGAATTGCGAAAGATATCACCTTCTACCTAATGTTACATATCCTTTGCAATATTATATTCTGTGAATGATTGATTTGTCATAATGTGTTATTTGACCATTGCAAATCTGCTGGGGAAACTCCCAATGTTGGAGAAATGCAAACCATATTTATGTGGCTTTAGTAGTAATTTCAAAAATCATTTTCTTTTTAAACCTGGTGTTATTTGAACAGATTATACTGTATGATGTCAAGACAAATAGGTGACCAATAACAAGAGACAAAGACGAACACTAGAAGAGTTGGTAGGGCATGAACATTAACGGTAGAGATTAAAAAATTTTCATCTCAATTATGAGACTAAACATTTTTAATGGGGGTGTCCAACTTGCAAAGCCTGTAGGGCTGCAAGAGAAACCTTCAATATGATTGTGAGCCATATCTACATAACTTGTGTGATCCACATCTGACCATCCTGGCTGTTTTCCCAGGTGCTCTGTAATGCTGGGAGGGGTGGGGGTAACCAAGTGTAATATCAGGACATTCCTTTGAGATGATTTTGAGTTTCTGAATTTACTTGAAAAAGATACTTCATAAATTTAAACTTTATCTATTTTACATAAACACTAAAATGCCTGGCTTACAAATACCCCCTAGGATGCCCAGCAGTTGTTTCAACTCTTGAGCCTTAAACATTACTTCTTAAAAGTATATATTGGAAAAATACATATGTCGCTATAACATAAAAACAATAATTTAGTGTATAATAGAAGTATTATGCCACAAATAACATATATTGTAAAACATTGTTATTACTGTCCTGCGAAATAAAAATTGAAGAAACATATTGAATGGAATCTGAAAGTGAACTGGCAAGTTTATGTTGAGAAGTAATTTTTAATATAGTAACAATATTGTAATAGTAATACAATGATGTTATAAATATTCAAATTTAAATAAGAAGTTTCACATTCCCTCACCATCTTGCAATATGTCAAATTTGTTTAAAATATTTTAAGTTAGAGGACTGATTTCTAGAAGAAATATAATCCCATATTTAAACTTTCCATAGACCTTTCTCAGACGCTTTTCTTTAAATTTACTTTCTACATTTCTGACCTTACATTTTGAACAGTATAAATATGTATAGTTGTATATTTAAAACTGTAGAGACTTGTACATGCTTAAGTTTTGGAGCTTAACACTATATGTGTTCAGTCAACACTTACTTTGTGTCATTATGGGTGTTACATAGCCACATTTTCCATCCGTTTCCTCTCTTCTTGCGCAAAACTTCCACATTATTCCCAATGTATGTAAAAACATCGATAAGCATCATTTTTGTGATTTACCAAAATTCATCGTAGTATGCTGCTTTAGTCCGGTTTTCATGTTGTGATTTGTGGAAACACAGTTTAGATGGTATCTACTCTATTCCTTCTATTGCATAATATTGGTACGGTTTGTAGAGGAATTGCTTCATACTAAAGCAGGATAATTTTTCAGGAGAAAATAGTGAAATTAGTTGACGATTTCTTTCGAAACCTATTTCAAAACTTATGAAACAAGATGGTGTCTAAAAAAATTAAATACTGACCACATCATTACCATTTGTAATTCAAAATGCACTCCTGCTCACAAATATATTTTATGCTCTACAATTTCTCGTATTTCATGAAAATTGCTTCATTCAATATTTTTCAACCTTTGTCTGATAAAAATTATATTCCTTAATGTGATAAAATTTTTCTTTTTGAAACTTATCGATATATTTGCTATCGTCTCAAAGCAACTCCTTAATTTCCACGTATTGAACACAGGGCTAGAAAAAATAGAGGGAAAGAATGGTTGTATATTCAGTATGCAAGGTCAGTTGAATGTGTTTGCACAGCTTAGTTTCATTTTCCAATCCTGCATCCTGCAATTTGGCAGATGTTCTGTAGTGATCTGGCTCCAAATGGAACTCATTCGTATTCTTTTTTCGTGATACCAAAGATTAAAAACCCCTCGGAGTTGAATAAGGTGTTGTAAACTGGCCGTCAGTGCTTCAAACTGAAGAGAGAATTTATCCATTTTCATTATTAAAATGTGGTGCACAAGTACTTAATTCCTTATCTTTGCAACAATTGGTGTTCGCAACAGTCAACCCTTATTTAATCTCAGTCTGCCTACAATGAGTCTTTCAGTTCATTCATATTCACCTTCCATTCCAACTACTCATACAGACTATGCTTTTTGCTTGATGGAAAACATTACGGTACCAGTGGTGGGCTTGCCCCCACCCCCAAAAGGCCTGGAGTTTTTGCTTATTATCTTCCTTTGTGGCAAAATTGATTTGAATATAATTTTATTAAATTATGTAATAATTTAATAAATATAATATTGTTTAGTGTCACATACACAGATCAAAAATAAAACACAATATAATGAATAATTTTAACAAAATGTGATGTCCCCCACCAGGTCTGCTGGATCCGCCCTGTTATCATAGTGTCATGATCAGAAATTTAATAGTGAAGGCGAAACTGAAATTTTTGTGAATTCATTGTGTTGCTTCTTAGAAGGGTATGACTGATATTTTGAAACATATTCTTAATTTGGGAAATTTTTTAGAAGTTACTGTTTTTATAAGGTGAATTGGGCAATTTGCCTATTTCTGAGTGTGTGTGCGTGCGCATGTGTGTTTGGGAGGGGGACTGGTGAAGCCTTATGATGTTAAAATGTTATTTCAAAGTGTGGTCAATCGTACGTAACATCCACAGTAGTAAGTCTATTATTTGTAACCTTCACAGATGTATTCATTACTGTTCCAAAACATTTAAGTTTGTTTTTTGAAGTTTCAAAGTTTTTATTTGTCAAATGTGGAAAAGCTTTTTGAGAACAGAAGGTGATTTTCAATACCAATTTAGTCTTAACATATTAGTGAATATTATGCTGCATACCAAGTTAACAAATTATAAATACACCTGCTCTGTAGAAAGGATTGAATTTCTCTCTTCATATTATGTAGAAATAAATGTGGACTCTTAATTTTGAATTATACCAATAAAATCCTAGTATTCTGAAAACTACATTCCTTTTCCATGAAGGTCTTGTCTTATCTTAGTAGATTTATAGTTCACCAAAAGGAATTAAAATTCCTTTCTGTGTCTATCTTTAAGGAAAGTTTATTTTAAGATTTTAAATTAATTTTTGGACTGCTCAAAATATTTATAAAGAATGGTGATAAGTTAGTACGTTCACAAAATTTGTTTAAAAGTTATGGAATATATTACTAGAGAGTTTCTTTGTCAAATTCAGTGTCTTGTAAAGGAAGGTTGAAAATATTTGAATGATAAGGTTTTGATGGCATTACAAAATAGTTTTGTTTCAGATGTGATGAAATGAAAAAGAAACTTAAAATTAAAAATTAACCATTGCATGAAAAAAGGATTTGTTCTTTTTCTATAATATTTTTTGAAGTAAATTGTTAAAGTTGTTTTTGGTTCTTCAGTTCAAACAGATTTCCCAAGCCTATGAAGTTCTGTCAAATCCAGATAAGCGGCGAATCTATGATCAAGGTGGTGAACAAGCCCTGAAAGAAGGTGGAATGGGAGCTAATGGGTTTTCTTCTCCAATGGACATATTTGATTTGTTCTTTGGTACTGCATTTGGTGGAGGCAGGGGTCAGACACGTAGACGGGAACGTAGAGGCAAAGATGTTATTCATCAGTTAAGTGTATCTTTGGAAGAACTCTACAAGGGTGCTGTGCGAAAACTGGCTCTTCAGAAAAATGTCATTTGTGAGAAATGTGATGGTAAGTTTTCTGAAAAGTATACTCTGCTGCTTTAATAGGGTAAAAAAAACATTATTTTTTTATGATGGTTAATATTGGTGAAATAATTATTTCTTTCGGTATTTTGGCTCTTAAAAAATATTATGAAAATATTCTCATTTTCCTTTGAATTTCCTTCAATCAAATGTACTTTGTTAATTGCAAAAATCTTTAGATTTTCTTCCTTAAAGTAGTTTTAATTCATTTTAAGAAAGTTTTTATTGGTGTCAAGGGAAGTTTTTGTACAAATCGCTATTTTTTCTAGACTTCTGAATGAAATGGAAGATGTTTCTGTTTATATTTTTAGATTAATTTTTGTGCTGTATTGCATTATTTGTGTGTAAATTATTCCTTGAAAAGTATGTAGGAAATATTAAGTTGTATATGTCATAAGACATTCAATGTCCCTGCATCTACTTACATGAGAGTAAGCTTAAGTGTTCATATAATAATGGAATGATTTATTCAGGTCGAGGAGGCAAAAAGGGAGCTGTTGAGCAGTGCCCAACTTGTCGTGGTACCGGAGCTCGTGTTCAGATACAACAGCTTGGTCCTGGTATGATTCAGCAGATTCAGACAATGTGTCCAGATTGTCATGGTCAGGGGGAAAGAATAAACCCAAAAGACAGGTGCAAAAACTGTGGAGGAAGGAAGGTATGTTTCTGATTAATTCATATTTAATTATTTTCTTTCTAGCTGAGTTTTTACAACCTCTTACTGTTGTCTTAATGTGCAGACTGTACGAGATCGTAAAATTTTAGAAGTTCATGTAGACAAGGGTATGGTTGATGGTCAAAAGATCTCTTTTGGAGGAGAAGGAGATCAAGAACCAGGTCTAGAAGCTGGTGATATTATTATAGTTCTTGATGAAAAGGAACATGAAGTTTTCCAGTAAGTGTAAAAATATTAATGGAAAAGTGCACATTTGTCTTGAAGAATTACTGTGTAAACTTGGTTTTATTTTTCAGACGCTCAGGAAATGATCTCATAATGAGAATGAACATTGAATTAGTTGAAAGTCTCTGTGGTTTCCAGAAAGTTATTCGTACTCTTGATGATAGGGATCTAGTCATTACTGCAATTCCAGGTAAGAGATGGTGATTGTTATATTTTTTATAACTTGCGATTGTCGTTATTGTATAATACTAATTATTTTCTTATTCGATAGGTGAAGTAACTAAACACGGAGAAGTTAAGTGTGTTCTTAATGAGGGCATGCCTCATTACAAGAATCCTTTTGAGAAGGGCCGTCTCATTATTCAGTTCCTCGTAAACTTCCCTGCAACTCTACCTCCTGAAATAGTTCCACAACTGGAGGACTGTCTACCTCCACGGTAAATATTTTAATTGCTTATGGTTTATTTAATTTGTATAATTTTTGTTTTGTGAACAATTTTTTTTGTTCAAAAAGTGCCTAATATTTTCTGAAATATTTTCTAAACGTAAATGGAAGTATGAAAGAATTAAAGACTTCATTCAGAAGCATGTTGGAAATATAATAAAACAAACTTGTTTCAATTTTATTCTCACCTGCAACACTGACCGTGCTTATTACTTGAGTTCACATTAAAATTTTACCAACTTGCTCAGCACCTTTCAGTAACCCTTCAAATTTTTAGATGCTCTGAAGCATTGCAAGTGGTGTTTCTGCAACAATTGGTATTCAGACCTTTCATGACCTTACTGCTTGTAGAAGACTGGAAATCGGTGCTTGCCATTGGTTCTGTGGCTTTTACTCTGTCATGCTGCCACTAACGGCCTATCTTTTAGCAGGGTGTTAGTTGCCTTGGGAGGGCAGATGAGATTACAAAAACAGGTGTTTACATTGCAAGTTCAGAATGACAAGTTGGGCGATGACATGTGTACAAGTAATTCGAATTCAATTATTGAATGCATACTGGCAATATTTATGATAGAATTTAATGATTACTGTTTGTTTTAATTAATCAGTCAAAACTTATATAATAATAAATAAGTAAATAAATAAAAGTAAAACAAATTGATAAATTAATAAAAATATTACAATAAATAAAGAAATAATGAATAAATATTACTTCTGGGTTAGCCAGAAAATTTTCACAATAATATTTAACTCCCAAAAAATGTTCATAAGCCTACTAACACTACATAAAACGCATGTCTCTGTGTAAATAAAAGTTAAAAAGTTAACAGCAATGACCTTTGCCATCGTTTTTGCCAGTCGATAGATGCCTTACTTTTTTGGCACTGTCAATGGTTTGCTCACTGCGGGAAGTTATGAAAGGTACAGGAATGAAATGCCTAAATAACATTATTTCCAATATTCCATAGCACTTCAAAATTTGTATAAGTTTTGTGTGATGTTTTATCAGCTGGTGAATTTTCATGGCAGAGTATTCAGCGCTGTGAGTGTTGAGTGTCAGTTGTAACATTTCATTCTTACTGTGTTGAAATTGAAGGTGTGTAGGATAAGTTTTTTGCTTGGCCTCTAAACTTAAATTAAACATTGAATGTTTGAGTGGGGACAATTTTATGTTGTGATCATAAGTGGACAGGATCAGGGGGAGTGTTAACGAAGGGAAAATGTACCCTTGGAAATGTAAAAAAATTGGGTTTTGCTATAAAGATTTTAAAGGATAAAACTTCCATTTGTTGCATAGGAATTTTGAAGTTCGTTGGTTTGTATAATATTTCATAAGTAAAACCATGTTTAATGGGTATGTACATGGTTATAACGAAAACCTGGAATTCCTTTAAATGAGTTTGTTTTAGAATTTGATTGAATGGGTGGGAAAATGGTGCTGGTGTTTTGCGTAAAATCAAATTATTTCAACAATGTTCATTATGGTGAATGTGTAGGACTGAAAGAACAAAAGGCTTAAATTAACAAAGGATGGTGGGAACTTGAAGTAGTTTTCACAGCCACCTTGTTTGAATGGATATTTTGAAAACAATTAAGCAAGTTTGAGTTCGAATTAGGAATCAACAAAATCGTCAATCTGAAGTTTCTACTTTTATGTTTACATTAATAGTTTAAAATATTTTTTAATATAGATATCACATGAAATTGAGTTTTAAACAAAATTTAACATGTTCATTTTAATTAAATTCTTACAAATACATAACATTACACTGGTGTGTATTGCAATAATTATAAAAGCATTTTTATTCCTAATAAATGGCTTTGGTGTGGCTATTTTGAAGAGCGCTCCTTAAGGCATCGCTGCAGAGGGTATGCACATCTGTGTATTCTATAGCTATTTAATACCACTTAACTGGCAGTATAGTAAATCTAACAGTGTTTTTTAGGTACTTTATTGATATCGAAACCTTCACAAGTAGTCAGCAAATGGAAAATGGCATGATAATATGCAGATACATAATATGAATCACCTGCCCATAGATTCTAGGGGCAGCAACCTGAATGTACTAATGAATTCCAGTTCCTTGATAGTTTTAGAAAGGACATGCACGTAATTTTCTATCAATGTTCTTTAGCATTGGCATTTAATATATTAAGGAAAATATTGTTTATGATAATTTTGTTGTAACAAAATAGCGTTGGGATTTACTTTTAATTTTTTTATACAATAAATTTTTAAATTAACACAATTTAATCAAGCCTTAGTAATCCAGACACTTTTTGGTTTATTGTTACACTATCGAATGACTCAATTTTACTTTTGTGCCTGTTCGTGTTCTGTATAATGACCCTGATAAATTTTATAAATATATTTCAAATAGATATCATTTCAATAAACTTTTTCAACTCTTGCTTTTTCTTGCTTTTCATGATGTTACTTGAATTGGTTGTTTTGAAGGGATAAATATCTTTAAACTGATATAGGTGACAAGGTGATCCAACAATTTATGCCAAAGTTAAAGTTAAAACTTGCCCATCTCATTTGAACTAAGAAACAAATGTTATCGTGCCTGCCTCTTGTTCTTTGCTTTTATTGTCCAATATCTGAATAGATGAAGTCAAAAAGGGATAAGACTATCATAAGATTATGGATAAGATCCTTTTTTCAGAAGCATTTTAGATACACATTTAGAAATCAAGCAATATTAACTAGAAATGTCTGTTGGTGGTTTCTGAATTTTGAGTTTCTATCCAGCCAATAACATAACTTCTTTGAGAAACACACTTGCTTTCAATTATTTGAATAATATTAATATAAAATACTAGGGGGAGGGAATAAATTTCAATTTTATTTTGAAAGATAGGCATTAAAATGAAATTATTGTACATGTAACACCTGGGCAAATCAGCAGGGGAAACATTTTGTTAAATTGAAATTTTCATTATATTGTAGTTTTCATGTTTCACTGAAGAATATGCATGTTGTGATAATATAAGGTTTAATTCCCAACAAAACTGGAAATGTGAATTAATGATTTTTAATTGTTTTTAATTTTCCAGCCCAGAATTAATGGTGCCTGATAATGCAGAGGAGTGCTTGTTGGTAGATCTGGATCCTGAAAGTAGGCGACGAGATTACAAGAATGCCTATGATGAAGATGAAGCTGGAGGTCATGGACCCAGTAGAGTTCAATGTGCTACTCACTAGGTGCCTTCCTGGTTAATTTATGCGACAGTGTTGTTAAAATTCATTATGCATCCTGTTAAAGGGACAGTTGCCCAGAAACAAATACTACATCCCAGCTGCAAGTCTGTGTGTTGTAGGTTTTCTTAGGCCGTGGTCTAATTTGTTTCCAAATAATTTTGAGTGACACTTAAAAATAAATTATTTGTTGTTTATTGAAGTTAAAACTCTTCAGTTTGTTATTTATTGTAAGATCAAAATTAGTACAGTTAACGTAATGTTTTAATACCAGACTCGTTCTCATTTTCTCCTGGATTCTTGTAGGATTCGTAATCGTTCCACTACATTCGTATTGTTTTGTGTATTTTGCCTGGCCAATGTGAAATGTTGAGAATGTTTTTACTTTTGAAGTAAGGGCAAAGTACTTCTGGAGATGGTTTAATGTAATGGTATGTTTTGTGTCACTAGTGTAATGTAACTTTTTATGATCAGTATTCAGTGTTTCCTGATGTTCTTGATGTCTGTCCACTGTAAAATAACAACCTGATGCATGTCAATACCTTACATAGAGAAATGCCTATCTTAAAGGTACTTCCTTATGTTAATGGAAAGTAACTTGGGTTGATTCACTAGACCTTGCAAAACAATTCCTTGTGCGCTTCAATTAGCATAATGTATCAAGCTGTTAGTTCAGAGATGGTTTGTGGGGTTCAAGGATGAATATTGAACAAATGGTTCTATGTACTGCTGATTTGTTTATTATAAAGTAAGGTTTGTCATGCAACTTCTCAGACAAGTTTAAAACTGACATTTTTTGGTAGGTCTAGTGGAATGCTTTTAGCATGGTAATGTTCTTAATGTTATATTGCATTTAGTGTTCGTTGGATGAGAACAGCAAGGAATTTTTTGGTAGATGGCTTGGTTTTGAGAAATATCAGGATTTATTCTGGAGCTGAAAGATTAGGATTAACTCATCGTAGTTTCTTACTTTTGAGTTAAAAGTAAAGCAATGTTCCAGATGAATTTTGTATTATGCTTAATCATTCCTGTTCTGTTAATCGGAGCACTATAAAAGCAAAAAAGGAAAAATCCTGCAATGATTCAATTGCACTAAAAAATGTAATTTATCTTGATCTGAAGTTTTATGTACAGGCTGAATCTTATTGTATAACATAGACAATATAACTTAATTTGTTCATTTCTGGATTTCATTATACCCCTCTACATTACTTCCTAGCACCTCCTCTGTCCTTAATATTTTAAGATAAAAATATTCAGATTATTTTTTTGTAGTCTGTAGTTCTTTAATTTCATTCAAATTCATTACTGGTCCATGACAAAAACAATATGTAAACTGGTAGTCAGCACAAAAAACAAACTAGAAAAAAAGGTAATTTATGGAATCTCGTGTGTATTTGATTTACATTTTTTTAAGTAATGTATTGGGACCAACATGGTTTTGCAAGCATGTCTCTTGTGTTTATGCTGTTGTGTAGTGTTTACACAAGTGAATGTCCCTTCAGTAATTTTCATCTTGAAATTTTGAGTAATGCTCCTTGTTTGGGTATTTACAATTTGGGTAATGCACAATGTTACTTTGTCAGGCCAGTAAATGTGTGTAGTACTGGGTCATTATCTTAAACGTCGTCATGAATATTTTCAAGATTTTCTGAAAAAAGTTTTTGTTTGAAAAGCGAAAGATGCTTGAAAAAATGGTGAAGATCTATATTTCATTGAACTCTAAATTTTTGAGAAGTTTTCTTTCTAAAGATTTCAATAATGGATCTTTAAATTAAGTCTTGAAAATTTTTTTGAAAATATAATTTTCACTTCATTTTAATTAAAAGTTCAATGTTCTCATTGTTTTCTTCAATAGAAGAAAGTAAGCTCATAAAACTAAAGCGGGTATCATTTTCAGTGAACTCTGAATTAAGAAAATTGTAGAATAACACAGCAAAATTACGATAATGAATAAAGGCTTTCTCTTTAATCAAAATTGTTCTTAAAAATTAGATATTTAAATAAGGTTATTTTCAATAATATTAATAGTGTTCATGAAATTTATGCTCAAAAGTAAATGCAGCAAAGACTCGAAAGCTTTTTAAAAATATTTTTCTGGAATAGAGCGAAGTACTCTTAAAAATGGTGCAGGTTCCATTTCCATTGGTCTCTGAATTTTTGAAAATTGCAAAAGTTAAAAAATAAAAGTATATTGTAAATAAGGTATAAAGTTATAAAAAAAAAGAATAAAATTAATTAGGTATGTGGTGTTGCACCAATAATTGAAAATTGTCATAATTTTGTACAGGTTAGGAAAAACATTTTAAAAAAACTTTACCTTTAACTTTCTCAATTTTTTTAAATTAGAGTTTTTTTATACTGAAAATTAGATATGCATAGATTACTTTGGAAAGAATAGAGCCACTTTTGAGATAATTTTGAAATTGTTGAGTACTCCTGAAAATGAAAACATCCATTTATGTTGAAGGGGATTCAACATCACTCAGATTGATCAGAGAATGTTGGTGAATCCTGTTTACAATTTAGGTTCTATTATTTGCTGTCATATATTTCGGGGGGGGGATAGTAAATGAGAAAGTATAAATTGAATATTGGGAACACTTTTTCATTCAGAGTATTTTCTATTATTGGAAAGAGTGCTAAAAACAACCATAGATTTGAGCATACTTACTATTTTTACTATGCTAAATAGAAATTATATTCACTTCTAAAACAAATACAATATATTCAATTATAAAACATCATCTGAATTTGCGATTGCAAGCACTACTAAAAAGTGAAAGTTGTATCTACCCTCTTAATAAAATGTATGTACACTTCTATTTATTTAAATTGTGGAACTAGATGAAATAACATAAACTGCTAGAGAATCAATTATTTTTTTGCACTAGTCAAAATCAGCAACTTAATTACGTTACTGCATTACAAGTACAGTGCCGGGGGTCCCTCGATTTTGAATTATTTTTGTCAAACTGTATGTGATGAATGAGGGATCATTCTTTCTGCACATGCAACACATCTTTCTTAAGTCCCAGATTCTTGACTCTCAATTTAATCACATAGTTCAATGATGAATAAAACTGATAACAAAATGTAATTAGCAACATTTGAAAGATAAAAATTGAGTAATACAAAACTTTGGTAAAACTAGACTTGATTTTATAGTCCTAATTTTATTTTTATAGTTATTATAAACAACAAAGCTTTGTTAGTTTACAACAAAATAGCAATCCACACCCCTACACTTCTACCGCAACCAGCAAAAGGACAAAATATGTGATCATAGTGAAATCACTTTTATGGCCAGAAGCAAAGGGACTTCTCAGCACGTGAATTGTATAGAATTAAAAGTATTTTAAGGGACGTCAAATAACCTTAGCACTTACTTTAATAAGTTCACATTCAATAACAACCAAAATGTTCCTAAAAGTTTTGGCTAGATAGAATTCTTCTGACCTCAGCAGTGATATTTTCATGTATTACATCAGTTCGTTTGTGTTTTATTGGCTGTGTTTAGAGCTTCACAATAACTGCAAATGACAGATTCAAAGAAAATAATTTATGATTCATCTTTGAATTATTTCAATATTAATTTTTATAATGGACGCTAACAATTTAAAACATAAAGAAATGTATTCCTTACATTTGATGTTGACCGTTTTAAACATATTTGTCAAATGTTTTATAATAGTTTGAGGTGCAAAACTTGAAGTGTTGACTAATGAAACACACTTATGAATGAAGTTGTGCCACCTTTCCTTCAAAACAATGGTTTTAGTCGAGAGAGTAGGAATTCAGATGAAGAGAGTAATTTGAAATGGAATGTTGGAAAGGGGAGAGAAGTACCTAATTGGGGTAAAAAATAAGAGAAAATAGCTTGAAAAATATATTTTGAAAAAATGGAGATTACTGTGATTTGATAAATATAAAAATTGTAAAAGATTTTGGAGGATTGGTCATAACAGAAAAATAAAAAGTAATTTCCATGCCTGTAGCATAGAGGATCTTTTCTGTATTCTTCTAGAAACATGATAACTGTAATAAACCAACCATTGCATACAAATGGATTATTATCACCACCTCTTACAAAGCTTAGCAGAATGTCAATATTGTGAAACCTTTTTATTCATATCAAATAAATTATATCATTAGAGGTCAAAAGAATTTCCATTCCATATGAGAGAATGAAACAAATGTTTACAAACCCATAATTTCATAAAGTAATCATTCTAGGCAGTAAAGTTGTAGAACTAGCTTGATGAAAATGTTTTTAGCAAATTCAAGCAGATTTATACCCTTTGAAAGTTTTTTTGTAATTTAAAGGATATTTGAAGTAAGAGTCAATTTTGCAGAAATCAGTGGTGTAGTTAATCCTTCTGTGAAACCAGTCATCTCAGCATGGTAACAAAAAAACAAAACCTTTTTGCTGTGTACAGTTTTGTCTATAAAGTAGTCTACACAGTTTTGCAATACACGCAGCATTAAAGATTGAACTTCTCTCTAGCATTTAGTGAAAACCAAGACCATTTAGATGAATATGTGCAAAAATTATAACATAAGTAAGAGTCTCATAATCAAAATGACTGCCATTTTGACTAATGCAGATGAAGGAAGAAAATAACAAAAAATATCTAAAAGAGTGTATTTCACAATTATGTATATATCATTTAATCTGAAGACTTGAAAAATTTAGAAAAAGCTAAAACCCAACAATATCAAAAATTCAGATTTTTGCTTTATGTCTCGCGGTAAGCCTAGCTCTTTGGAATCTACTGCATATAGATCCTTCAAACAGCCCAGAGTCAATGGTACATTATGTTTCAATTTTTATTATTGTATTTTTAGGAAGTACCTAATTTTAAAACTTAAGTTCTTGGAGTTTCAATCTTTATGTAAGTGAAGCTCACTATTTCCAGACTGAAATGTGATTGAAACTCTCTCATAATGGTAGTGGGAAATGGGGTGGCCGTGAGAAATTTAATTTGGGCAAGATTTTAAAAATTTTATGCTAGTATATTTTAAAAATCCTTTCTTTGAACTCAAGAATTATTTATTAACTTTATTTGATGGCTCCCTTGAAACTATCGTCCAGAATTTCAAATTTGTTTTCAATAGAAATTAAAATTTGTCTTGTGGGCAATGTTATTGTGTATAATTGTACATATGCAAAAGTAGCTATTGTAGATTCAAGATTTTTTGGTATTTCACTCACATACAAGTCAAGCTTACTTCCTTGTGATACATGGAGCTTTTAGCCATTTACATCAGCTCAATAATAACTTTTTAATAAGAAAAATCTTTATTGTATTAAAATGTATGAATGATATTGATTTTTTTTTTAAATAAAAGATAAATGATATGTATTAAATTTAATATTTATTAAATTGTCACAAAACATAAAATATTATGTAATGTTTCTACATTTTAATAAAAATATTGGCAATGAGAGTGCAATTTATTTTTTTCACAATATTTTCTTTTCCTTTTGACATATGCAGATGAGGGAAAAAATAAAAAAATGTGTTAAGAATGTATTTCATAATGATGTACATATCATTTTATTCAGATAACTCAAAAAATTTAGAAAATGTTACAATCCCAAAAATGTAAAAAATTCAGATTTTTACTTTGATTTCCCTTATGCTCTGGTCTTGAGTCTCCACTGAATGATCGTGCATACAGTCCAGAGCCAACAGTACATCATCATTCAATTTTATTATTGGTTTTTTAGGAAGATGAAATTGTGTGTTTCAACTAAAATAAAAATGAAGAAATTATTATTTTTTTTTTAATAGGTTTACAGACAAACTTACCAGACAATACAGAAAAGAAGTATTGGAGTATGCGATCTCAATACTTGCTTTGTCACCTGAGAAAGATTTGAATTATTTATGAGATGTATGGTGACCCAGTACAAGCACAGCATTTTTCATGAGTTCAGTTTTAAATATTTGTATTTGATATAGTGCATCTTTATATAAAATCTAATCCAACACCATAACTGTATTCATTGATCATTTAAGTCTTCTTCTGAGCAATCTTTGAAATGCAATTATTACATTTACAACAATATAATTTATTGTCTGTTTGGTTTATATTTAACAGGAGAAGATAGACAATTCTAAATGGACTGACAGTAGAGGGGGAGCAGCAATAAAAATTAATGACATTGATGATTCAGTCCTGGACATCATCGGTAAGGATTCTCCAATAGAGGAACTTGGAATAAATGAATCTATGTATATAAGATATCAACATTGTGTATGGGAAATTAATATGCTGCCTATAGAAGAAAATATATAAATGGGAAATAAAATGGAAGAGCTTGAGAACTTACAAAATAATGTATTAACCTATTCTCCCATCACTACTTAGTGAAAAGAAATATAAAAGTGGCAAAAGATTTTGTAATATGTGCAGCAAAGAAAGTAGGTTTCAAGTTGAACTACTTAAAATTCATATCTATAAAACTCAACTTGAGACTAGGCAACTGGAAATTTGTTGGGGTCCCCCAAGAAGCAATTTCACAGTAGATGTACAGGACAATAATTGTCCTGATATTCCTGTAGATAATAACAACTAATAAATGTATTTTAAAATTCTAAAGATTGTATTAATTAAGCCTCAGATGGACTGCTAGCTGGATGG